TTACCCCTTGCCTTGAAACAGGCAATGATCCCAGCGTCTTGGGGCTGAAGGTATGCGGTCGTATTGGCCGGCAACATCTCAAGGCGAACGTTCGATAGGCGCGTGTCTTCATGCAGAAGGTGGGATGGAGCGTTGTCGACGAGCAGCAAGACTAGCATGCCTTGTTCAGCCATTCTTGCATCCATCGCCTTGAGGTACGTGTTGAAGATGGTTGAATTCATCCAACCCTTTTTGCTGGCGTGGTTGCCGAAGCCAAGGCCAGCACCACTCTGGCTGTTGAAACACCGTGGTCGCGTTGCCGTGCCGATGAAGAGCGGATCTACGACGTCTGTTCCTGCTGCGTTCGTCGTGAGAGCGACGGTCACACTCTTCTTCGACTTCTTCGTGCCTGGTATGTAGTTGCGCGTGATGGAACGGCGTGGAGAAAGGCAGTAAAAGTACGCTGTCTTATCCATGTTGTAGACATTGGCAGCTGAGTAACCCGATGTCGTTTCGAGCACTTGTTGGCGGCTAGCGTCCACGGTGGTCGGAGGTACTGAGCCAGCCTCTCCATGCTGGATCTTACTCGAAAAACCGTGTTTACGCTGAAATTTCTAGAGCCATCCCTTCGAAAACGACACAGTCGAGGAAGCCTCCAGGCCAAGCTGTGAGCAGAAAACGTGGGCTTGTTTGCAAATGAGCTCGCCAGTGATGCACACACCGAGCTCCTCACAGCGTTGGACCCAGGCGACGACCTTTTCTTCGACTTCCTGCATCGAGACTTTGCCCTCTTTTGTCTGCGCCTGATTTTCGGCGCGGGCACTGAGTGTTTGGTTTCATTGTAGTGCGTTGCATGTGATGGATTTCGACGGCGCCGCAGCGAGACCAAATGTTGCAGCGGCCCATATGGCTAAGGCAGAATAGGATGCATTCGAATCGCTGAAGTGTCATGCATATAGAGCATCCTTCTCGGCCAAGGTCATGCGATGCTTCATGTTTGAATGCACTCGCACTTTCCTGACACGGTTCAAATATTTGAAAACCCCTTGACCCATTTATAATATAGGATTATGAAATTTATAGAATATCCCCCGTTCCGTCTATGGGGGAAATTAGTATCATAAAATTGAAGATTCTTGAAATCGCGGAATATATTTCGCGAAATATTTATATGCGCACTACGCTAATAGTCGATACTACCACCATTTTTAAAACAACTTGAGCCAAACGCGTTGGCATGCCGTCCACGAGCGTCTTCAAGTAGTCAGTACCTATCATTGTTCACGACAAAGCATTTGCCGCTTCAAATCAGACACAGTGTCAAATTGTCGCCCCCCACCTCGTAAACATGACGGGGTAGAATACCCCAAGTGTTCTCAATAACGTTCAAATCGGGGCTCTTGCTAGGCCAGTCCATGAGGATGACACCCAAGTCTTCAAGAAACTTCTTCGTCTCCTTGGAAGCGTGGATAGATGCATTGTCTCATTGGAACACAACAATCTGGTCTTCGAGACACTCTTGCACTTCGTCCAAAAAGGGGAACAGATACGTCTCCAGCGTCTTGCAATACTTCTTCGAGCTCTGTCGTCCTTCAAGGAATGCGATGTCAGACTTCCTGCACATGCTCACGGCACCCCAGTCCATAACGCTGCCTCCTCCGCTCACCCGCTTCGAGAACACTTTTTCGTCACCACGGAGGTCGCGCCAGTACGCGTGGTATCCATCCGGACCGTCCAAGTTGAACTTCGTCCGAGAAGACAACTAGACGCCAAAAATCCAGCTTCGCCATATGCTTTGCAGCGAAAGCACGACGGGAGTTTCGGGGTTTCAGGGTTGGGGTTTGTGATGCGGCTTCAGATACAGCGCCGGCTTCTTCTTTGCGTATTTGACGAACTTGCACGATTTCAGCACGTAGAGCACAGTGCGGGCAGTCACCCTCACCTATAGTGTCTTGGAGCTTTGCGGTTCTGACATGTTTCGTACGATTGCGTTGCGGTAAATGCGACGTATGTCATGCTTCGTCGTCTTGACCTACCATCCCGACAGCTTTTTCGTGCCGCATGTGTCCGGGGACTTCAGGTACGAACGCACTTATGACTGAGTTTGCTTGAGTCGACGTCCAATCTCACGATTGGATATCGTCTCGTGATTCTAGGTCAAATTTATGTCCATTTCGATGCTGATGGTGAGCTTGGACCTCTTGGTATGATGCGCGGTTGACCAATTTTTCCATGATTCGTGCCACCGCATTGCCTTTTGTTTGGCCAATTCCCCGCAACAATACTTTCCATTCTGATGTATTTTTACTTTTACTATATATTTAAGACGCAGTGACCACATAAATGTTTCCGATGCCTCAAACCGTGCCAATTCAGCCATACTCCCATACGTTGGCAAATTCAGGCACATGGGCTGTAGTGCATTGTAGATTAATGAGGATTGGAGTATAGGTTTGAGCCTAGGTTGATGCTTGATCGATGTGGCCGTGAAGGGCCAGGGGCCAATTTTGCCGTCCTACCAAACTCCAGTGTCCTCGACAAGTGGGGACACACGACCACAGTGAGGAGCATAACTCTCGTTTAAAATCTTTTACTCTTACGCTCGGGGGGTGTCTCGCCAAGGGACAAGGTGGAATAGAAATATTACCTGAGTCGGGGGGAAATGATGACCAGTTTCTGCCCGGGGGGGGGTAGGGGTAGTTCAGTGATCGCCTAGGATATGTTAGAAACAGGACATGAAACTTGCCGACTGTTCACGCTGTCGCGGCAGCCACTATGATGTTGGCCAACATCTCGGGTAACGTTGCAGCGTCCAAGAAAGCACGTATCGCTGAATGAGCTTCGCGCCATACACAAAGAAGTTTGTTGATTTCGCAAATCGTCCGGCCACTTTGCCACCTTCCCCTTCCACTGTTGTTTGTCCGCGATCTGGACGATTGTCCTTGGTCTGGCTGTGCATTCTAAATTATCCATGCCAGTGTGTGTGGAGTGTGCCGAGCTGCACTAGCATCTAATTGGTTGGCGATGCTTTGCGTGCGTTGTGGGCTCGAAACTGCAAAACTTTCAGTGACATCGCAATGGCGCTTGTGTCAGAAAAGGCCCATCCACTTGTTGCGACCATTTGCGCTGCGGTTAGCGACGTGCTGGCTCAAGTGGAAGAGCTAAAGGCGAAGGATACAGAACTCGATGGCAAACTGTTGTCAACGCGCCTAACTTGATCAAGTTCAACGTCGACGAGTACAATGGCCCAGGAGTCGAAAGTCATGTTGCTGCGGATGGAAGGCAGCTGCTTTCATGCGTCCCTTGGCCGACCATGGTAGTCAGATAGAGCCTCGAACGGTTCTTTTTGGGCATGGACGCGACACTCATTAGACGCGTCGTCATGTACCGTACCTGCCCCACTGGCACCGTGATGCCAATGAATGCCAACGTGGAGCGTGACGAGCCACCACGATGTCAAGCAACTTGCGACCGGCGGCGATGGCGTCGATTTCGTCTCTTTGGAATCGAGTAATCGTCACGGAAGCGCTGACCGGGAAGTTCAATTTTGCAGCGATGCGGCCAGGAAGGGGGCTTCCGGCCTCGGGTTGCGGTCATGGACGAAATTCGCCTCTCCAAAGTGTTCTTGGAGCACCTCGTCAAAGCATTGCAATTATCTACGAATTGAGCGGAAATAGTTACAAAGATGGCGACTCAGAGGCAGCTTCACGTGGGCGACGAGGCGATGATTCAGCGCCGCGGTGGGAATGAGGTGTTATTTACTGTGAACGATGGATCTGCGGTCAGGTTGGATCGAGTAAATACAAGCGCGACTTTCGCGACACGGCTAGTATTGAACATATGCACTCGATAGCGAAGATGATACCTTGGAGTGGCAGTGTGCTGGCCGGTTCGATGACGTTTCAGCGCGAGCGAGTTGGCGTTCGAGACGCTCCATGTATCATCCAGATTCCGTGTCAACGTGGATACAAATCCGAGACAGCCGTGACACAGTCTTTTGCATATAGAAGTGGTCCGTTAGTGTAATTGCCTCACATGGTCACAGCGATCGACCAAATCGACTGGGTGTGGTCGGACTTGAAAGGCTACAATCCATGATGCGAGTGAGGCTTCGATGTCGAGACTTCCCATATCTCAATGTCGTCGGCGTTGTAGTCGGGGTGGTGAGTTTCGACGGGAATCTCTCGAATACAGAGGCGTCGTTGTGCCACGACGGACCAAAACATTTCCTTTGCATCAAATCGCTCGTAGAATCGATGCTCGAACGACACGAGAACGACTGTTCTGGGCTCGGACGCGCAGAGGAGGCATATTGCATCAACTAGAGGCTCGATGGGGTACAGTTTGGGCAATACGCAGTCCGAAATGAGCACCATGTCCACTGGGCCGCCAGTCGCAATGAGATCTGGCAGTGGTGCACCCCAATCGTATGCACAGTACTTGACGCCAGCCACGTCGTTTGCATGGATGTTCGCTTGGATGTGGAACAGGATCTGTGCTTGGTCAGTCAGGACGACTTGAGCTCCCAGCATGGCGGCAGCGATGCCCACAGCACCGGTGCCACAACCTGCGCCAAAAATCGACAAGGTGAATTGAAGCATTTGACGGCGAGCCTTACCAAGTTCGACGACGCGCTTGCCTTGTAGGCCATTCGACGGTGCATAACGGTGCTCGAGGTACTTGAGGAGCACGCATGCCGCTGGCCACACCGTCAAGCCTGTGCCAAGACCGCTGATCTCGCCGTTCGGAACCTGGCGCACACGGAGGGTTTGGTTGGATCCTACAGGAATGGAGAATTCCGCGTGGTTGATGAATGAGTCTCTCCACACCAGGGACTGCAATGCCCTCCCCATCTTGCTTGGCGAATGACGCCTCGCGGACCGCTCTGCACCTTCCCGCAGGACATCCAAGATGTTGCACGGCATAGCCATGTTGTACAGCTGCCCTTTCACTTTCGTGTCAACGGGCCAGCCCCTACCGATGATTGGACAGATATTCATAGTTTTAACCAATCCAAAGTCGTCATTAATCGCAATATACAGCAACTGGATTGGCCAACAAGATCTATTTTGACCAATTCAATCTGAGGAACCAAATGGAACGCGTAGTTCACAACCATCATGCGCGCGTCCATGCTCCAAGGGCACTCCCGCCTGCCGCTGCGATCTTCCATCCTCCGTGCATTCATGGCGACCGCCTCGGTTCCATCTGCCGCTGGCGATCCGACGCGCCATGTTTTGTATAAGTCTCATGTGCCCACATCTCCAGTGCAGAAGATTGTTGTCGCAGTGGGATCAGCAGTCGCGGTGATGGCGAACCCCGAGCGTGGAGACATGCTCGCGGCGCTTGGCGATGTCACGGGGGCAGTGGCAATTCGAAACATGCATCTCAAGATGTCATCAGACCCTGTTGGGATGCAAATCCTGACGGAGAAGCCTCGGTTTCGGTCAAACGTCGTCGACATCGACGCATTGCGTGACCTTCCGCACAACACGTTCGGGTATGCGTACACGCAATTCATGGATGCGCACGGGTGAGTTCATGCGACGTACTCTCTTATGCGGATCTCATCATGTTTGCCAGGTTTGAAGCGGATGGTCGTGCAGAAGTCAAATTTGTCGACGATCCCGAGCTGGCCTACGTCATGCAACGATACCGCGAACTGCACGACTTTTGGCACGTTCTATTCGGTCTACCCCCCACCGTATTCTCCGAAATCATCCTCAAGTACGTCGAGCTAGTGCAAACGGGACTACCCGTGTGCACATTGAGCGGCCTTGTCGGCCCTCTGCGACTCACTTCTCGTACGTTGCATGATCTGGGACTGCACATTTTGACAGAGTCTGTATGCTAGGCGAACGCTGTCAGCTGCTGTGCACATACATCCCATGGGCTTACCGAGCAGGACACCAAGCGCCATTCCTTATGAACGTCTACTACGAGCACGAGTTCCACACCCCACTCGACGAACTCCGCGCCCGACTGCGCATATTGCTCCCCCCCGCCGTCGCCGAACACTAGCGCGTCCAGCTTGGTAGCGAGAAATTCGCTGGGAAAGCCCTGTTCACATCTTGAGAATGCTGTGGCATGACTCAAGGGATAATGCCGAACGAACCATGCACAAAGCGGCACTAGTCTACTTTACACCGAAACATTATGCTCTGGGTGAGCAATGCGATAGATCTTTGCCTTGATAACGTCGTCCATGGCGCAGTCCTCAGGGAGTCGGGCTACCGTGGCCGCTTGGATGCCTTTCGCCACGTAATCTTGAATTATGTCAAAAGACAAGCCCGCCGCTGTCAACTCGCGCTGCAACATTTCGTGGGATACGTCGGCGCGGGGAATATGGCAGAGGTAGAACGCCCCAGATGCAGATAGCCAAGTGTTGATAGTTGCGAGAAGAAGGGTCACCAACTCGCTTTTGTACAGGACGTCGCCGGCAACAACAACATCGAACTTGTCAACGCCAAAGCGTTCACGAAAGACACCATTGGAGGACTCGTCGCCCCACCACAACGACGTCGTGCCAATGGAGCCTGGGGAGTTTTGGCCGGTCGTGTTTTTGGACAAGTTGTTCTGGACGTTCCACGCGAGAATGTCCTTGACTACATCAGCATCACCGTCCGTCGCGACCACAGACTTGGCCCCGACCAAGCGAGAGACTAGACTGACAAGGCCCGTGCCTGCTCCCAATTCCAGCACGCGCTTGCGCGCGACGATGTTAGGATGCGCATGCACGAACTCGGCGAGGAGGTACGAGCCTGGCCAAATGCGTTGTCCGGAGATCTCGGACGTCGTCTCGCGCATTTCGGACAGCATAGAGAGCGAGCCCGCAAGCGACAGCTCTTCCATTTGTCGGATCTGGAACGTTAGGTCCGTCCCAATGCGGATGGTTCCCACCGCATACTCGACTTCTTCGCGCCAATCTTCATCGTCCGAGTTCGCCATGGCATTCAGTGGCAACCAATCTGTTCGTGTCAAAAGCCACCATTTTGTAATCAAAATACGTTTCAAATGCATTTAAAACTAAATAGACATATTTCAAAAACAAAACGAACGGGCGTATCGAAACAACGCGAGGGCGCACTTCTGCAGAGATCATGTCGTGGAAAGTCAACAATACACAGTCGGCATGCAACAAGCACCATCACTCAAAAGACAAGAGAAAGCCCCTATCATAGCGGTTTGATCAAACTGAATTGCCCCGAGAGCGTAGCCATCTTTGCAATATTGTACTTTGTCTAACGTTATGTCCAGCTTTAATCGGATACACCGAGTTCAAAAAGTTTTGTCCGAGTTGAAAAAGACATCGACTTACGCTCCAATCATTTTTTCAACTTAAAAAACAACCTACAAACCCTTTACGCCTAATCATTTCGAATAATGCTCGCTCCTCTCGTATTACCGCGGCTGCTGGCACGAAATTAGCCGGAACTTCTTTTTTAAGTACTGTCTTTTTTCTTCCTTAATGAAAGAGCTTTACAACCTATTAGCCTTCTTCACTCACTTGGTATTGCTGGATCAAGCTTTCGCTCATTGTCCAATATTCCTCACTGCTGCCTTTAAAAAAGTTTGGGCCGTGTCTCAGTCCCAATGTGGCTGATCATTCTTTCAAATCAGCTAAAGATCGTAGGCTTGGTAAGTCTTTTAAACTACCAACTACCTAATCTTCCGCAAACTCATCCAATAGCGTTTTTTAAACTTTATTTTTTATTCAGAATTTTTAAATAAATAATTATGCTGAACTAAAGGGTAGATTATTCACGTGTTACGCACCCGTTTGCCATGTTTTACAACATTTGACTTGCATGTGTTAAGCATA